GTAGCCAAGGATGGTAAAGAAGTAGAACAAAAAGAAACTACATTTTGGGGATTTAGAGACAGCGCTTAATTTTTTAGTTTTGAAAGGAATTTATTGGAGAAATTGATGGCAAAATATGTTGGGATAAATTCTTGTAATTTTAAGTTTATCCAAATTTTCACTCTTTTTTTCGATATAAGCTACGACATCAAAGCGTTGTTCGCTTTAGTCCCAAAGCATTGATTTTCTAAAAAACAAACATTGTGTGTGATTTAGGCAGGCTATGCTATAAGTTAGAAGAAGTGAAAGCAAAGGAGAGACGATTAGAAGCGCGTCAAGAAAACTACTGTCGTGATGGGCAGCGATTTTTATGCAGACATGATCACCTTATCTCGTTTTACAGCGCCAACTTAGGCATGATAGTTCTCAAATCACTTCTTCCACGTCATTCCGAAAGGAGAAAATGCTTCTCAGCATAGCTCAATTACTCCAGTTACAAAGTTTGAATATTTGAAATCAATGACGCAAATCCAAACTTTTTTTGGATCTTGGTTCGTCAAGGTGTGCATTAACGAGCTCTAAGGTTATCTCAGCTACTTTGCAGCACACAACTCTGCAAATCTCAAAGAAAGACGAATTCATCGGGAGTTTTTAGCACATTGACAGGTAAACTACCATCTGCCGGTAGTTCAAGAGCAGAACCGAGCTGCACTCTTTTCAGTCAACAAGGTTCATTCTAGACATTTAGGCGTCCTAAACAACATTCCAAATTCGGTCATCACTATGTATTGCTGACTTCTACGTTGTCCTTCCTACTTCTGTTCAATCAAATATGAAAAGCAAAGAGATAAAATTTATTCCCATTTTTTTACAGTAGAGACTTTGCAGTTGAAGGATGCCGTTAATGTCTTTTTTGAGTGTGCAGTCTCGCAGCTCTATAGTCTTTTGAATTTTTTATATCTCAACATTTTTACAAACTGAAGCTGCAGTGCTTAGGTGCTTAGGTTTCAAAAGGAAAGCTTACTCAGAGGAATGAGCGTGCACAGGGGAATCAGCCCTGTACTTTGCTCCCTTTGAAATTTTGATGAAAACTGAAGAATTGCTTGCCACGTAATCTTGTGAGTACTCCACTCATTTTTTAAGTTATTGGCTTCTTGCATATCACATTCCAAGTGTTTTTTGACAGCTTGTATGGCGCC